TTATGGAGACTTGATTTAATCTGTAAATGAATTTTTGATAAGCAGCATTGCCTTGGTAATCAGAAAAAAAAAATATGTATATATGAATGAGTATATGTGTGGATACAGTCCTGCAGATAATTTGGAATAAGACAAAGAAGGAGATTAAGTCACTCCTAATCTTGCCAGAGCACAGCACTGTAGGCTTCCTTCCAGTCTTTTTTCTGTGCACAGAAGGAGGGACCAGATAGCGTAAGAGCACAAACGTGGTGTCAGATCTGTCCGTAGAGCTGGGAGACCATCCACAAGTTACTTAATCTCTCTAAACTTCAGGTTCCTCATCTGTAAAATGGGCATAATAATTTCCCCTGCCCCAAAGGGTCCTAGATATAAACATTATGCCTGGGAATGTATATGCCAGTGATATACAAAATCATATGAAGAAGAAGATATAAATGATCTGCATAAGTCTCTGCAGAGTGCTGTATGCCTGGTAAGTTCTCAGTGAATACTAGTTTTTATTAGATAAATGTGTATTTTTTTTTTAAGTTGGGATCATAGTATCTATACAGTTTTTCAGTCTGCTTTTTTTAAAATTAAGTAGTATCAGCACGTTTCCCCACAAATACTCCTTGGAAACATGATTATTTAATATTTTTCCTGCATTCCGGCACCTGCACAAACCCTAATTTACCCATGAAACCCCTCAAGTTGGATATTTAGGTTTCTTCTCGTATATTCTCTAACAAATGCAGTAATGCGCGTGCTTGTTCTTGGATCTTTGAGTCTCCTTCTGTAATCTACCTGGAAGAGGGATTCTCGGAGTAGAATTGTGGGGTCTGGGCAGTGTGTCGGGTTTCTGTTAGTGCCTGCGGCCTGTGTGCGCTTCGTGCTGGTTGCATCCGTTTATACTGCCTTCCCCTGGTGGCATGTACTGTGCTTTCACCACATCCTGGCCCCCACTGGGTTTTACTTGAAAAAGAAAAAACAAAAACAAAAACCCACAAACCCCCAAAACTGCCACATGCATTTCAGCTTTTTAAACTGTAAAAGCAATGCATATTCTTGATTAAAAACATTTTAAAGAATAAAAGCGTATCAAGTAAAAATCGTAAGGCCCCCTCAGGGCACTGCCCCCCCCTCCAAATCTCACTTCTAGGGAGGTGGTCATTGAGTGTGATGTGCAACCTTCCAGACCCTTTTCTGTGTTGGTGGGTGTATGTGCACACATGATATGCATGTGTCGTTCTTTTAAGATACAACTGGCATCATGCTGCACTTTCTGTTGTATGCATGTCAGTCAGTCAGTGACATGTTTGGGACAATGTGTTGTGGACAGACTTCCAAGTTAGTCCGTACAAATGCAATCTCGTCCTTCTTAAGGATTGTGTATTATTTCATGGCTGGGTGAACCCTAATTTATCTAACCATTCACCAACCAAGCTCTAGCAACAAATTAGGTTGTTTCCAGTTTTTCACTCTTTCAAATAATGCTTTCATAAGCTTCCCCTACATCTTATAAATCTGGTTTTGGGGATCTACTTTTAGAAATAGAATTGCTGTCAAACATATTTCTTAGAACCTAGTGTTGTCATTTTTTCCTAAATGTATATGAGTTAAAGGCATTCTAGCAAAGTCTGTCTGTTCATTTATTCAGTTGTTCATTCGATAACCCTGTTTGTTGAGTGCTTCATGTGCCAAATACAGTGCTGGGGTATAGCTGTGGACAAAGCAGAAATGGTCTCTTTCCCTGTGGAGATTATGGTTCATGAAGGGAGAGCCCCTCCCTGCCTGCTGCCCTTGTCTCTTGATTCTTGTTTAAAATGGGAGAAGGAGAGGGGCGAGTGTTTTCATCAGAAGACACTGCCTGGTGAAAATCCCCTTGGGATTGTCCCAGGGCAGCCCTCCACCCATTGGGCACGCCCCTAATAGACTCCACTCTGGGAGCAGACGGTTGGGGCCACCCCTGCCCCGAGCCCAGGGGAAGCCTGAGGTCCCTGGGCTGCAGGGAGGGGCTGCTCCACCCTCCTGGCTGAGCCCCTTCTTGTGGGGCAGAAGGGGAAGTAGCAGCCACCCAAAAAACTGGCTAGTGCCTGCCTCAGGGCGGGCCCTGGGGACCAGACGCATGTCATTGTGAAAGTTGGTGGTTTCCGCTTTTCCTCTTCCTTCTCAGAGAGGGACCAGGGCCGGGGTGGGGGCCGCAGCTCCACCCTCTCTCCTGGGGGCCTCACCCTGGGTCTGAGAGGCAGTCACTATTTTCAAAAGATTTCCTGGGATGACATGCCAGCCATTGTTGGTGTTTGAGGGGAGGTGGGGCCTAGGCTGACCCAGCAGGAAGGAGGGAGCCCGGCTCCCCAGTCTTACCCAGGTGCCCCGAGGGGCGGTGACTTGCCCAGGCCAGCCGGCAGTCAGCAGCAGAAGCAGGTTTTCACCTGTGTTTCTGGGTTTGAACCTCCCCCTGCAGCAGCTGCTGGTCCCACCCTGGGAGGTGATAGCCGCCCCCTCCCCACAGTGGCCAGATGGGCCTCCGAGGGCTGCCGTCAGCTGATGGAGCAACTCTTGTCCAGTTAGCACTGACGGGGCTCAGGGACCAGCTTTCCTGACCACTCTCTGGAGGGCTCTAGCACAGCCTCAGCCTGGCCCCAGCCTAAAAATCGGGAGGCTGCTGGCTCACGTGCCCCACAGAGTAAACGGCAGAGCATTTACCAAGAGTGGCTTGGAGCTGAGTGCTTTGTGTGTGTCGTCGAATCCTCACGGCAGCCCTACACAGTAGTTCTACAGTCACCACCCCTGGGTCACAGACAGGGAAGCCGAGGGTCAGAGGTTTGGTAACTGTCCTGGCCCCTGCCTGTCTCCGGCTTATTCGCTTCCACCTGCCCTCCTCCTGGCCATGCTGCCCCACCCCTCCCGGGCCCTCCAGCCAGTTGCTTCCTCTGCCTGGAAATATCTTCCCCCAGACCTTGACCTCCTGTCTAGGACAGCTGCCCACCCGCCAAGCACTCTCCACCCCTTTGTGCTGCCTCATCCTTGCGTGGCCCTTCTCACAGCCAGGAATCACCAAGAAACGTGGGGGATGTCGAGGGCCTTTTCCACCACTAGAGTAACAAGCCGCACAGGGGTGAGGACTGGTTCATCTCTGCACCCAGAACAGTGCCTGGCACATGGTGGGTGTTCAGTTAGTGTTTGTTGGATGAATGAATAGCTCAGCTGCACCTCCTCCAGGCCTTGCCTCCCCGGTCCCACCCTGGTCTCTGAGGTCACATCCTCCTATATCCCCCTGCATCCCGCTCCCGCTCCCTACATCCTCCTCCCATCAATTCTCCCAGCCCTGCACTCCCATCTTTCCATCACTTCACACAGTTACAAAGATACTTGTTGGTGTTCACCTGCTTGCCTCTACTTCCACCCCTCAACTTGAAGCTGTCTGAGCACAAGGACTTAGTTTGCTTTTGGTCCCCACTGCATTCTCTGCCCCTGGCTAGCGTCTGGCTCCTGATGGCGCCTCAATGAATGCATCCATGAATGACTCATAAAATAGAAGCGTGAGGACGGGAACTCAGCTCTCTGGCATTCAGGCCTGAGCTCTTAGCATTGTGCTCCCTCATGGTATGAAATTGTGAGTCTGACTGAAGCTCCTGAATACAGCAGCTGCCACCTGAACGCGTCTGGGCCAGCTCTCAAGACCCCGCAGAGGCTCCCGGAGGCGCCGGCAATTGTAACAATTCTGCAGTTCCTCGCAGCGAGGCTTCCAGTTAAGCATCACTGCTGCTCTCAAGGTGTTGCTTCCTCCCGAGTTTAGTTTTTAATCAGATGAGACTTTGCCCCTGAAGACTGGAGCACGCAGACAATTTCTCTCTGTAGCCCCGGCTTCTTCTCTTAGCGGTGGCTGTGTGAAGCAAGACTGTAGTGCTGGCTGTGTGTTTATAGATACAGTTTACTTATTGATTGTTTGTCAGTCCTGACAGTCACACATGTTCATCATGGCAAACTTACGAATTCAGACAGTAGAAGAACCGGCATCTGGTCTCACCACCCACAGACAACCATTTACGCAAGTTGGTGCATTTCTTCCAAGTCAGTTTAGTGTATATTTTTGCCCATTTTTGGGGAAGGGGGCATAATTCTGACCGTACAATATATTCAACTGTGCCTCTCCCCCTTTTCTCACTTAATCTTATAATATAAATAAAACATTTTAATATTGCATTATCAAATACATATTTAATGTTTGATATTGATATGTATTAATATGTATAATTCAATATTAAAATATTGAATAAAAATACTTCAGAACTAATTTTAGTGACTATAAAATATTCCACCATATGGGGTGTTTCACACTTTTCTTAATCTGTTCAGTCATTTACCTTTTACGTTATCTTTCTTCTCCAAATTTCTTAGTTTCTCTTCCTCTGTGTGTGTGTTTGATACACAATTTTAAATCCTTTTTGGAAAAGACGGGATATATTATACATCGTCTATAAGAATTTTTAAAATCACTCTGCAAGTTTGCACATGGGCAGTATCGTAGCTGATGAGGTTCCTCTGAGGGGCCATTATTGTTCATTAAAATCACTCCCTGAGAGCTAAGCAATTATAGTTGTTTTTAATTTGTCACTAGTACAGTGGTGCTTTGATGAACATCATTATGCATAATTTTTTTAATATTTAAGATTTTTTCATTAGGATAGATTCCTAGATTTGGAATTACTGGATCTGAAGAATATGGATATTTTGAATGTTTTTGTGATTTATTGCCAAACTGCTTTGCTAAAAGGCTCTTTGGTTTATACTCTCGTCAGCAAGCAGGAGAGTACGTATCTCGATACATCCTTACAGCAGTAGATGTTATGTTTCTAACAATGTTATATTTGTGACAATCACTAATTTGCCAGATAGAAATGGCATCAGTCAGTTGACTTGCAACGTATTTCTCTGAGTCCACATCATGGGCTTTTACCCGAGGGCTGTGGGTGGAGGAATGTTGATTGAATACCCTATCTGAGATTTTTGTCTTGCAGCTGACTTTGGTGTATCTGCCAAGAATCTGAAAACTCTGCAGAAACGAGATTCCTTCATCGGAACGCCTTACTGGTGAGTCGTATAGCTTCTGGAAATGGAATGGTGGACTGCATGTTAAACCTCAGACTCCCCAAGTTGACCTCTGGCTGGGATAGAGGGAGAGGACAGAAGGCCAGGGCTCCTGAGTCAGCCTGCTGGGTCTGAGCCCCGTTTCCACCACGTCCTAGTCCTGTGACCTTGGCCAAGTTGCCTTGCTTCTCGGTGCCTCAGTTTCCTCATCTGTAAAATCAGGGAGGTAATAACACCTACTTAATGGGTTATTGTGAGGATTACACGGCCTGCTGCACAGGGAAAATGCTCCAGTAATAGTAACTCAACTGGAACCCTAAAAAATGGTTCAATTCTTGATTCATTCAACAAATATTGCTTGAGTGCCCAGTCCCGGGCTGGGGGTGTGAAGATGAACAGTACAAGTTCAGTTCCTACCCTCGCCTGAAGTCTTCCTGGACTTCTCTAGTCCATCGTGTTTCCTTCTTTTCTAAAACTGTGACTTTAAAAAGAACTTGCACTCAGTTTCACACCTGACTCCTCTCTGTTTTCCAGTGCATTGCTTCCCACTGGAGTTAGGCTCCTTTCTTGCTTGCTTATTACTCACCCTTTCTTTCTTTCTCTCTCTCTGCCCTTTTATTCCTCTTTCCCCTTTTCTCTCCCATCCCTTCTCTCTGTGCTGTTGTATTCTCTCCACCCCTTTCCCGCCCCGTTTTTTCTAGGCACCTTCCCCTTTGTCCCCACCCGCCCTCCCCCAGGACTCTGTGTTCTGGATTGTGGCTGCCATCTTGTGGTAGGCATCGGAACTGCAGCAGGACGTGGCGGTGGAGCCGCTCCGAAGGCGTCTTTCTGTGTGAAGACCATCGTAAGGAAGACAATGGGATAGAAAGTAATGCAAATCATGATGCGGGAGTGCTGCCAACCTCCTGACACTGGCTTGTGCTGGTCCTTGACCCTGAGTTTCTGAGAAGTGCCTGTGGAGGCCATGTTCTTAGCCCTCTGTTGTCCCTTGGTTGGTTCAGGATGGCCCCCGAGGTGGTGATGTGTGAGACCATGAAGGACACCCCATACGACTACAAGGCTGACATCTGGTCCCTGGGCATCACTTTGATTGAGATGGCCGAGATAGAGCCCCCGCACCACGAGCTCAACCCCATGCGAGTCCTGCTTAAGATTGCCAAGTCAGACCCCCCGACGCTGCTCACACCTTCTAAGTGGTAAGGAGCAAGGAGGCCTCCCCGAGGGATGGCCAGTGGGCCCAGGACGCAGGGCAGGTGGGATTTGAGGAGGTGGAGTGCCAGGGCTCTCCTGTCACTGCTAGGCCCCAAAGTCGGGGAGTGGTTCAGGCCGGGGTCTCCAGGCCTCTCTCTTCCCTCTGTGCTCTCGACATGGGCTCTCCATCAAAGCAGACAGGTGACCTAAATAAGCCGGATCTACTGTGGGAATAAGAACCCAAGTGACCCAGCAGCCATATGGCACAACCCTGGGCTGGGAATTGGGGCTCGGCTTAAACCCCAGCACTGCCGTGTTTCACTGCTCCTCTGATGTCTGTGTCCCCATCTATACAATGATGTCCATGGTGAGAAGGTCATCATGAAGGCCCCGTCGCCTCCGCTGTTGGGCTCATGAAGGCACCCTTTGTCCTTTGAGGGGCGTGTCTGGGAGCACACGACTCCTGGGGGAGCAGAGTCTGTGACACAGGGAGTTTCCTCTGCTCTCGCCTGGCTCTGAGCTTACTGCCACCTGTCCCCCCAGGTCTTTGGAGTTCCGAGACTTCCTAAAGACGGCCCTGGATAAGAACCCAGAGACCCGGCCCAGTGCTGCGCAGCTCCTGGAGGTGAGTGGTCCCCCCACAGGGGTGGCTGTGTGCCCCCTCTGCCCTGCCCTGCCTTTGGAGGTGGAAGATGGATGAGGTCACCCGGACCCTGGAAGCTGGATATGTTCCTCACCCAGCCCAGGTGACAGCGAGCACAACCACTTACTTGTCAACCGACATTCCCCCGGTGCCTCCTGGATACCAGCTCTTGTGCTGGGAGGGCTGTGGTGAGGGCAGCCCCCAGAGCTCTGTCCTCATGGAGCTTATGTTCTAGTGGGGGGACAAGCAGATATGTGCCCGTTAGAGGTAGAAATGGGGCTGTGGAGAAAAATAAAATAGCGCTAGGGGGTGGGGCTGGGGAGGGGCGGCTCTCCTGTAAAGGGAGGACACGGAAGGGCTCTCTGTGTGAGCAGACACCCAAGGAGGCATGAGAGCGGGGCAGGTGGTACCCGAGAGTGGAGGCAGAGGCCTGGGGCAGGAGCACCATTGGCACAAGCCGGGAAGAGTGCGGAGGCCAGGGCATGGGAGCCAGGGGTGAGGGCCGGGGGATCCAGGAGGTATGGGTGTGTCCCCCTCTAGGTGCGGTCATTCACTAAGAGGCCACATGGGGCTCAGCATATAGTCATATCACAGTAAGACTTACTGCAGCGAAAGGATACAGAGGAGAAGGCACGTGGGGAGACCAGGCATGGCTTCCAGGGTCCTCTTCCCGTGGATTCACACGGATGCACTTAGTTCCCCCCACGACGAGTTGTGACGACCCATGTGAAATGTTGTCTCCCAGGGAAGCTCTGTAGAGGACTCAGCTCCCGGGTGTGTCCTGGGGGCTGGTCCCGTAGGCGGCCTCTGCCTGGCGCATACTGAGGTTCCGGGCTGCAGAAGGCAGGCAGGTGTTCAGCCTGAGCCATGTTGTTTGTGCAAACAGTTGAGGCATAGGGGCCCTCTCATCAGTTACTGGTGGGAGCCCTCCCCTTATCCCAGTCCCAGAGGCCGGCTGAGAGCCAGCCGTGGGAGCAGCCTCTCGGAGGAGAGCGGGCGGGCCTGCTGTCTCACTCTGTCTACACGCAGGGCCCCGTCACGCAGGGTCGTGCAGGGCCTCGCAAGCCCAGACCAGGACTGGGGCTTCACCCTGGGTGCAGTGGGGCCCCCATCAGACTTACACTTACAAGGGCCCCCTGGCTGCTGTGTGCAGAATCTGGGAGCCCAGCTTGGCTGACGGCTGACTCTGCGCATCTCATTACTGGCTCCTGGCCTTAGGGAGAGTGGATGATGGTTTCCCTGAAGCTCTTTGAAATACTGGAGGGAGCTGTGAGCTGCCCTTCACCTGGGCTGAACCTTGTGTTCTGAAAGCTGCACACCGCCCAGCTGTCCCCAGGTCTGCCGATGGCTGCCCCCATGCCACCAATGCTGATGGGAGAGGGAGAGGAAGTGGGCCTGGGTGATGGGAGGGGCTGCCCCTCCATGCCCTGTCCCTGCTGGACCTTCCACCTGTGCGACAGCCTCTGATGTACGGTGGGAGGAGAGCAGGAAGAGGCCACACCAAGCACTCGTCTTTCTTTACGTTTCTTTATGCTTTTTCCCAGTACCCACTGTGTGCCAGGGCCCATGGTCGACATTCTGGGCTGCAAATGCGTCCCTCTGTGGTGTGCAACACAGTGATTAAGTGTGTGGACTGGGGTTGGAAAGTCCAGGGTTCAAATCCCAGCTCTGCCACTTGCTGGCTGTGAGACCCTGGGCGAGTGACTTGACTTCTCTGAGACTTGATTCTCGCTCTAAAACGGGGATAATAGCCATGCCTCCCTTACAGGGTTGTTATGAGGGTTAAGTGAGAAGATACTGTAAAGTGCTTAGGTTAACCGTAAAGTGCTATGCTTGATGAATGTTTGATGCATTGAACTGAATTATTAAAAAAATGAAAAGAAACCAGGATGCAAAATGGGGTCTGTCTGCTAGGGGGTCACGATTATTCCTTGCAGATTTCTGCAGTGTATTTGAAAGCAAATGTCTGGAGAATCAGAGGCCTCCTTCTCTGGGTGTTGTGGGGTGGGGTGGGGCGGCTCGGGAAGGCACTGGCCCGGGCCAGCAGAGGTGGGGGGGTCCGAGGTCGCTCAGCCGGTTGGAGCCAATTGTTTCCTGTAGGCAGGCCCTCCTGGCCTGATACATCCGGCCTGCAGGACATTCCACCGGGAAGAGACCAGCTGCCCTTCTTCCGCACAGGGCAGCGCGGAGCCTCAGCCTGAGCCAGGAATTTCCGTTCTGTAGTTGGGAAGATGCCCTGCCAGAGGATTCTCAGCGGCAGACAGAAAGGGCTGCAGAAGGAAGGACAGCTCTCTCCAGATAATGAAACACCTTCCAGAGCTTAGGCTGCTGGCAGGGTTTTCCAGGTGCCTTCTCCGTCCCAGCGAGGGAGGGTGGAGCACCACACCCCTCAGGCGAGTGCCCCAGGCCTAGAGCAGGGAAGGGGCTTTGAGTGACAGGTAGGCCCAGGTCCTGACTTCGCAGCGCCCCCTGCGAAGCTGGTGGTGCTCCCGCCTCTGCCTGCTTCCGGGAGGTGCCTCCGGGCCCCTCGTCTGCCCCTGCGTTTTGCCTCGAGCTTCCTGACACGCGCCCTTGGGTTACGATTGGTTCGTTTACTTGCCGCGTGTTCCTCGGGACCGTGTGGCGTAGTGATGGGTGACTCAGGCTCTGAGATCAGGCTCGGCGCCCGGCATCTGAGCAGTCCTGCCTGGGCCTCCGTGTCCTCGTCTGTGACACGAGGACGGCGCTCACTTCACAGCCTCGTGTGAGCGAGCGAGGTGCTGTGTGCACGTGTCGTGTGACAGCACGCGTGAGGCCTGGGTCACGCGTGGTGCGTCTGTGTGGGCCCGCCCTCCCGGTCACAGCCTCGCGGCGGCGGCGCTTCCCACGTGTCGCGCGTCGTGGTCGCTCGGGCGCCGGAGCTCGTCTCGCCGGACCGCGGCCGCGGCCGCGGCCACAGCCCACCCTCGTCCTCCGCAGTCCCGGTTGACTGCGGCTCTCGGCGCCGCCCTCCTCCCCACTCCCCCGTCTCCTGCACCCCCTCTTCTGTGTGCAGCGACTCCCGCAGGCCCAGACTGTGCGCCCCGCCCCAGACGCTTGTCGCCAGCGGTGACCCTCCTCCCCGCTTGGGCGCCCACTGGCATCTCCCCCAAGTACGCTCCAGCGGTGGCTCTCCTGTCTCAGTCGGTGGCGCCGCCGCCTGCCGGGGGTCAGGCCTCAAACCTTGCAGGCGTCCTTGACCCCTCTCTTTCTGGCTCCCTCTCCATCCTGTCGGGAAATCCCGTTGTCCCTGCCTTCAGAACGTGCCCAGAATCCCACCACTCCTCTCCACCTCCACTGCCAGCCCCCGTCTGCGCCGCCGTCATCTCTCACTTGGTCATGGCCCCCTGGCTGGGCTCCCTGCCCTCCTTCAGTCAGTTTTCAGCACAGGAGCCAGAGGGAGCCTTTAAAACATGTCACCTCCCATATCTCCTCTGTCCACAGCCCCTTAATGGCTCTCATCTCATTCAGGTAAAATCCAAAGTTTCAGGGACCCGCCAGGTCCTGCATGATCTGCCCACCCCACCTCGACTCCTCACACTTCCTCTCCTCTTCTTGCCCCTTCGCTCTTCACTAGCTACTCTGGCCTCCTTACTGTTCTTCACACACTCCAGGCACACTCCTGCCTCAGGTCCTTTGCACTGGCTGTCAACACTGCCTGGAATATTCTTTCCCTAGACACCTCCAGGGTCTCTTCATGTCGTTGCTTAGAGGTCAGCTTCTCAGTGAAGCCTCCCCCAGCCACTTTATTTAAAACTGTGAACCTGCCGCACCCCCATGTTCCTCATCCTCTTTTTCCTGCTCTGCTTTTAATTTTTCCATGGTACATAGCGTGGTTGTGTATAACTTAACTGTTTATTAAGTTTATTGTTGGTCTCCCTGACCAGCACGTCACCTCCCTGAGAACAGCAGTCTTATCTGTGTTGTTCACTCATGTGTCCCAAGCGTCTAGAACAGTGCCTGGTATGGAGAGGGTCTTCGGCAAGTATTTGTTAAATACATTGACTTAAATTGTTATGTAACCCTTTCTATGCCAGGTGCTGTTCTAAATGTTTAGCAAATGTTAACTAATTTAATCCTCATGACAACTCTGAAGTAGGCACTATTCAGATCTCCATCGAACAGATGATAAAACTGAGGCACAGAGAGGTTAAGTAGGCTGCACAAGGTCACACAGCTTGTAAGCGACAGAGTTGGGATTTTGGTCCTGGTTGTCTGGTCCCAAAGCCTGTTGTCTTGACCACTCTGGTAAGCTGCCTCTGAATGAATGAAGGAGAGGAAGAAGGAAGGGGAGAGAGAGAAAGTGAGAGAGAGACAGAGAGAGAGAGAGAGAGAGGGAGGGAGAGAAAGAAGAAGGTTAGGAGGGAGGAGGGGAGGATTGAGGAAAAGATGCTGACCCCTGAAAACGTGAAAGCGTTATTGGGCGTTTCCTAAAGCCAGTTTGCAGTGTAGCACCCCCCAGCTGATGGTTTCTAAGCACACACAGGAAAAACAGGCTCAAGTCCTTGGAAATGGTGTCTGGATGGCAGGAGAGGTCCCGGCCAGAGGGCAGGTGCCAGCTGGCGAGTTGTGGCATCTTGGGGCTCCCCACAGAGAGAGCACTGAACAGCAGTTCCCCTTCCTGAAGGAGCAGACGGCTGAGTGCCCCTCTGATCTGGGCCTTGCGCAGGAGTGCCCGAGCACCTTCCCGGGACCCGTGTGCCCACACCAGAGCGCCCCTGTGCCGGGCTCGGTGCTTTGGGGGTTGGGGAGACGTCTTTTCTATGCACACCCCTGGAGGTAACGGAGCTGACGCAGCGAAGGAGGTGGCTGCACGTCGTGTCCCAGGGCAGTTTACAAAACAGTGTTCCGGGCCTAATCGGCCCCAGGAGGGCCTGCCCCGTCTGCCCGCCCCCCTTGCCCAGGGATTCCGGGCGTCCAGGGGAACTGCCCTGCTCGCCTCTCCTCCGTCAAAGGCTTTCTTCCCCGTGGGTTACCCCTCCACTTCCTCAGGACCGGGGTGCTCAAGGGAGGCAGTGGAGCAGAGCTTCAGCCTCAGGAGAGCAAGGCTCCTGGCCAGGCTGAAGAGCCACTAATTTGGTCAATATGTGGTATGCCCTGATGAAAACCTGGTATTTCCGGTAGCCTGGGCCTGCATTATTTATTTCTGCCACATCTGCTTCAGCCACCGGAGCGAAGTGTCCCGTGCCTCCTTGCTCAGGTTCACGTGTGCGAGGTTGCACAATGTGAAGCTCAGGAACGTTTGGATCTGGTTCTCACCCTCGGTTCAACAAGCTGCGCTCTGTGGGGATGCAGGAGGGGATAGGAATGGCTGGGAGTGCAAAACTGGGGCCTGACACTTCTCTCATTTGATTCTGCCGTTGGTGACGATGACAAAGACGTGATGATGACGGTGCTGGTGGTGGGGATGGTGGGGATGAAGATGTGAGATGATGATGGTGCTGGTGGGGATCATGGGGATGGTGGGGATGAAGATGTGATGACGATGGTGCTGGTGGGGATGGTGGTGGTGATGGAGGTGACAAGGTACTGATGACAGTGATGATGATGATGTGGATGCTAGCCACCATATTTTGAGCACTTACTGCAATGCTTAGCACAACCATACGGTTATTCCAAGTATGCAGATGAGCAAACTGAGTGAGGCTCAGAGAGGTTGAGTGACTTGCCCAAGTTGGTGGTGGAAGCAGGATTTTATCCCAGCTAGCCTGGCTCTAGAGTCTCGAGCCAGTACTCTTTTTTTTTTTGTGAGGAAGACCAGCCCTGAGCTAACATCCGATGCCGATCTTCCTCTTTTTTGCTGAGGAAGGTTAGCCCTGGGCTAACATCCGTGCCCATCTTCCTCCACTTTATATGGGGCGCCGCCACAGCATGGCCTGACAAGCGGCGCATCGGTGCGCGCCCGGGATCCGAACCTGTGAACCCCAGGCTGCCGAGGCAGAGCGCACGCACTTAACTGCTGCGCCACCAAGCCGGCCCCTTGAGCCAGTCCTCTTGACTGCTATACTCTCCTACCTCCTGCAGTTAGTAAACCCTATAATTAATGGTCCCCCTCAAGACGTTTTGGAACCACACAGCAGCCAGAGTGACACTTTTAAAGGGTGACTGTTAATATCAGTGCTCTGCTGCAGCCCTCCAGTGGCTTCTGGGAATAAAGTCTCAGCCTCTCACCAAGGCCCAGAGGCCCTGCATGTACCACCCCATCCTGCCTCCCACAGCTCCTCCCATCTCTCCCGCAAGCTCCGCTACCCTGCATTAACAGATGAAAATGATTTGTGGTGGACCTATCAGTTGTGAATGTGGTTTCAAGGTGCTAGAAAATTTATTCTCTTTAGTCATTTACATACTTCCCTGCAATCTTGTTGACACTGTTCCTCTGCTGATAAGTTTTATGATAGTAAAAATAGTGAATTTCATCAGAGCCTTCCTGTAAATTTCATATAAGCAAATTCCAACTTAATGACACCCCCCTTCCCCAACGTTCCTTCTGCGTGGCCCTGGGTGAGTGTGGTGAACTGAGGAATCCCCATCCCTATCCACACCCTGGAGCTGGGGTGAGATGCCAGAGGACAGACTTTCAGCAGGGAGACGCCCATGCTGATTTGACATCTGCTGAGGCTGTGAAAGCTTCGGTGTTCTGCACAGTCCGTGAAGGAGCCTTCACTTTTAAAGATGTGACATTTTTCTAAACGCCTGGGAATAAAACATATACCACGCTGCCTCCAGATTGTGCAAACACGTGTCCACCCAAAGACATGGACGAGCGTGTTCATGGCAGCTTTATGCATAGTTGCCAAAAACAGGAAACAGCACAAGTGTCCATCGGCAGCAGAATAAATAAACAAACTGTGACAGATTCGTGCAGTAGAATCCTACACAAGGATAAAAAAGGAAACAATTGGCTGATACATACACAATGCAGATGAGTCTCTTAGTTTCAGCTCAGCTCATGTTGTGTGAAGAAAGCCAACCACAGAAGACCACATACTGTATGATTCTGTTCATGCGAAGTTAGAGAGCTGGCAAAACTAGTCTCTGGAGCTGGCAGCTGTGGAGAGTGGGGGTGACTGCAAGGGATACAGGGATCTTTCCAAGGGGATGGAATGTTGTGTGTCTTGTGGGGGTGGTGGTTACACTGGGTGTATATGTATATGGAGAAGGTCGCTGAACTTAAGCGTTTGTGAACTTTACAAAGTGTGTAAGTAGTCCCTCAATATAGTATATTTTTTAAAACCATATATTAAAACTTTTTAAAAAAGAAAATACACAAGCAAACCTCGCCAAACATTGCTTTGGCTCCTGCCTTGAGCTAAGCGCTGCTGTGTGCATTATCTCATTTCATCCTCATGACCTCCCTGTGGGTTTGGCATTATCGTCTGCACTTGAGAGGTGGGGAGCCTGCAGCTCAGAGAAGGAAAGTGACGTGCTTGGTGTCACACAGCTGGTGAGTGGCAGAGCCGGATTTGCCCTTGTTCCATCACACAGGACTTTCTGCGCTGCCTCTGGGCCTCCCTGACCAAGTTCACGTTCACGTTTCACTTAGGGATGCTGCTGGCCCTTTCTGCCTGGGGGATTGCCTCCCCGCTGTGGCCTGCTCCTCGGGCACCCCCAGCCCAAAGTGGTTCTAATCCAGGTGTGTCTTGCCCCCTCAGCATCCCTTCGTCAGCAGCGTCACCAGTAACAAGGCCCTGCGGGAGCTGGTGGCTGAGGCCAAGGCCGAAGTGATGGAGGAGATCGAAGACGGCCGGGATGAGGGGGAAGAAGAGGACTCTGTGGACCCCACCTCAGTAAGGCCCAGGAGAAGGGGTGCTGGCGAGGGACAGGACCCCTGCAGGCCTCGGCTGGTGTGGGAGGAGGCCTGGAAGGTGCAGGAAGGATTCCTTGCTGTCTCTTCCCTGCTCAGAGGTACAGGCTCCCACAGCACAGGTTACGTAAGACGGCACCGAGGCCAGGGCGAGGCAGCAGGCGTGTTGGCCAGATCCTGTGAGTTTTCAGGAAGGACCAGGAATCTAGATTTTCACATGAGATCTTCCAATTTTTAAGTTGGTAGCTGAGTCACTGCTTCCGAGCCTTTTTCCTGTTGTGGCTCACATACAAAATGAAAATGTTTTGGCATACTGTGGGATAAATGCAGATAAAGGCTGCACGTGATCAGAGGCAAGAGGCCGAGGGGCTCCGGCCACCCCAGACCCTGTCTGGTACTCTGAGTGCCCATGGGGCCCGTGTCGTGGCACATTCATAACCCATCTGCAGCTTCTGCACTTGGCTGAATTTAAGTTTAAATTAAAGCTAATTTAAAATTTTCTAAAACTTTTGAGCCAAGCAAAACATGTCTGTGGGCTGGATTCTGTCCTGAGCTGCCGCTTTCGGATCCCTGGTCTAGCCATTTGGGGAGGGCCTCTTCCGGAAGGGGAGATTTGCTGTCCGGATGGTGCTGTGGACATAGTGAGGCAGGGGCTGGACTTGTCCACTGGGGATGGACGATACCGCGCTTTCTCAAGTTTCAGTCAGTCCTGGGAGAGGCCTGAGGCTGGTGTGAATCCTCACCAGGATGAAGAAGGGACCCCTGAGGAGGATGAATGGCATCAGCATAGTAACCACAGCAATTTACTGAGCCCTCGGAGTGCTGGGCGCTCTGCAACTCTGACAGAGGAGAACCAAGGCTCCATTTTGCAGATGGGAAAGCTGAGGTCTAAGCAGTGCAATGGCTGACTGAGCTGATAGGCGGCAGGGCCAGGTGTGGGCTGGGACTATGAGAACCGCGGTGGGAGAGGGTAGCAGTGTGTCTGTGACCCAGACCTCCTGGGCCTGGCTCCAGGAGGAGGCGGCAGGCAGTGAGGTTGGAGAGGAAGGCAGAAAGCAGTCACGTCCAACCTGGCTCACTGCAGGCAGGAGGCTGGTCTTCGTCATGAGAGCAGTGGGGGCCGTTGAGGGTGTCAGGCAGGGGCTGGGTGTTGGTGTGGGAATGACAGGATCAGATCTGAATTTTTGAACTATCACCCTGGCTGTTCAATAGAAAGTGAATTAGAGTTGCTTCTGGAACCTTCCATTCCAAGGTTAAAAACCAGCAGCCATCAGGATCCAAGGGAGTGATTAATGTGATTCCATTAATATCAAGTTCAAAAACAGGCAAACTAACCTATAACACTTAGAGATGGAAGTCAGGGCAACGATCATGTCAAGGGGCGGGATGGGCAGAGGTGGGGGTCCCTGGGCCGGGGCGGTGTTCCACTCCTGACCTGGAAGGTGCCCATATGGGTGTTCACTTTATTCATTAAGCTGAACATTTGTGTTCTATCCACAGAAACGGGTGTTCTGTTTTATAATAGTAACATCTTCAGTACTTTCCACCCCCTAAAAGCTCTAACAAACACAAATAAAACTTAAAAAACTTAGTGGCTGATCGGCTGAATCCAGTGCCTAGATAAGTTTGCTTTGGCCTTTATGCGATTTTTTAACCATTTGAATTAGTTGCCATCTAAAAGTCAGGAAATATCATGTGAAAATCCAGATTCCAGCTTGTCTTGAAAAATTGGAAGGTCTGGCCCCGGGGGACCCATTTTATCACATTGTCACAATTGGCTGGAGCAGAATAGCTACTGCCCCCTTTAGATAGGGCATGAACTGTCCAGCTGTCCACAGTTGCCTCCACTCTTAGGAGGAATAACAGGTATTAAATTAGGCTAAGATTAGAGATGATCAGGAAATTCCTATTCCTCAAAACAAGTAGTAATTTTATTGTTGGTTAGGCAATAGGGAGTGGTGAGGACTGTGGCTTACTGGAGAGGGATACCTACTCTGTTTGCCTGTGCCTGCCCCACTTCGCCTTATAGGTGTCTGACTTTGCAACTCCACTGCGTTGCAGACTCCTGTCTCAGACATGCAGTAGCATGGCCTTGACTATCTTTTTTTTCCTAGCCTCTGGGGAACCACACTCGGGACTCTTCTAAGGTGAGCCAGCTGAGCCTCAATGCTGACAGTCTTCTCAAAGAATCGTCTTTCACTCCACTGCCACCCAGCCAGTCTCAAGAAAGTGTGAATGGGCCCAGCCAGCCCTCTGGGGACAGATCCCTCCAGACCACCGGCCCCGCAGCTGTGGCCCCTGGCAATGAGAATGGCCTCGTAGTGCCTGTGCCCCTCCGGAAGTCCCGACCAGTGTCAATGGATGCCAGAATTCAGGTGTCTGAGGAGAAGCAAGCCACTGACCAGGGTGGGGACCGTAGTCCAGCAGCCAACAGGTCCCAAAAAGCAAGCCAGAGCCGTCCCAACAGCAGTGCCCTGGAGACCCTGGTCGACAGTAAACTGGCCAACGGCAGCCTGGAGCTCCCCGCCCAACCAGGCCCTTCCCAGAGGGACTCGGACTGTGGCAGCCTCTCCGCCTCCGAGAGCATGGACTACAGCAGCTCCCTCTCAGCTGACCTGTCCCTGAACAGAGAGTCCGGCTCTCTGTCCATCAAGGTAACGCCACCCCTTGTGCTACAGGCTGGGAGCAGGACTGCTGCAGAATGTCCTGTGTCCGGTTTTGGTCTTGAAAGCGTTTAGTGGCTGCCTTCCATTTTAAGTGGTCTTAGTTCAGAGCGCTTAGTTCGATTCATAGTTTTAATCTCCAAAATATCTGAGTTTAGTCTGGGATTTAGTCACATCGGGTAGTTGGTTGGGGTTAAATTTCAATTTGCGTTTCCATTTATATTGGGTTTGGTTAAAGGTAAAATTTGGGAGAGAGCATTCTAGAAGTGGAAGTTCTCTTATTTGGGCGTCAGCCATGTGGTCCAGCTGTTGACTCGTGCGTTCGATTAAAGGGAGTGGGCTCCAGGCTCTGTCCCGGCTCAGTGGCCTTTCTGGAGCGGGTGACGTTGTGAATGACAGTTCCCACTTCACTGGAGGGCTCAGCTGGAGGCCAGCACTGCAGAACGCTTTAAAAAAAAAAGAAAAAGGAAGGAGGCTCCTTCATGATCCCAATGTACAGATGAGCAAATGGAGGCTCAGGTGGGAAGTGGAGAGCTGATCAGACCCCAGACTCTGCGCTGTGAACGCCACGTGCCATTCTGCCTTCCCCGTGGGAACCACGGCCTCCTTCTCCTCAGGCGGCTGGGAGGGTCTAACCCCTTCCCCTGCCCCCTCCCATAAGCCGAGGATGTTCCTGAACTCACCATTGGTCGCCTGACTAGGCCACACTGAGGGCCTCATCCCCAACCAAGGCTGATGTTAGGGAATGTGTTGTATCCTTCTGTTTTTTCCTTCCGTCATTTGCTTGGTGAAAAACACAGTAGAGACTCAAAAGTATTTACTAAATGAAAGGGAGTGAAAGGAGGAGCCACAGCCGGCCTCGGAACAGAGAGAAAGGGCAGTTCTGACAGGTCGCCGGCACAGGCGGAGCCAGCGGCTTTTATGTGCAAGCAGCACCAGGCCGTCATCTTCCCTGGGACAGGCGTCCTGTCCCTTCCCTTCTTAAAAAGACACTAAGTGAAAAGGAAAAGGTAGTTTTCTTTTTTTAAATAGAGGCCAGCCGCCCCGAGCGGTCTCCCCTGCCTCTCCATGAGGGTGTTGGGAATGTTCCTCTGCTGGCTGGCCGGCAGTGAGTCAAGGAACACGGCTGTGCTGATAAGAGTCCATGGGCTGCTTCAGCATCCCTGACGTGACTGGGAGCCTGTGACCCCAGGGACAGACGGCCCTGTGACCAGGATCAGTTCTAGTGTGAGGGCTGCGGGGTCAGCGCCGACTTGGAGGGCAGAGACTGACAGCCCGGGGCCACCCCGGCCGTCCCTCTTCTCGGGCTGGAAGGCTCTTGACAGTCTGGAAAGGCCAGGCTGGGCCACACTAGGAAGGCAGGCCTGGGAAGCCAGTTGAGAGGTTGGAGGGAGAAACGCCATGATGACCCCAGGGCAGGCCCACAGGCCCTCATGCGAATCAGGACAGAGAACTTGCACAGGGTGTTTGAACACCTCCAGGAGTCCTGGCAGCACTCTGTGTAGTGCTCGACTATTCACAGGAAAATCGTGCTGCGGATGGGTGTGGCCTCCTGTGGAGTTCGGGTCAGATCAGGTTTGGCTGCCAAATCAGTTGTGAGCTTCGGTTTTCCGGGCTCTTTGGATTTTGGCATTGTGGATAAGAGGTTGTGTGGTCTGTAACAATAGCTGTCAGAAATAAATACCAAGTATTGAACGCTTGCCGTGAGCCGGTGCTGTGCTGTGTGCCCCCACGCATTATCTCGTTGAGTTTTCATAGCCACTCTGGGGCAAGTACTGCTATTCCCTGACGAGCCGGGGACGCCGAGCCTCAGCCAGGAAGGGGACTTGCCCAGGGTCGCACAGCCAGCAGGTGGTAGAGGGAGGATTCGGACCCAGCTCTCTCTGACGCCACAGCCTGTGTGTGAGAGTGCTGGCAGCTGTGTGGGGGAGGTCAGGGGGCAGCGTCTGAAGGCCAAGATCAGGGAGAGGAAAGGGGATGAGCTCAGACACTCGGGTCCCCAGGTTGAGAAGCTTGAAGCGAGAAGGGGACGATGGACAGCCATGTCCACTGGACGAAGCTGGGGCTGGAGTGCTGTGGGCCACACCCACCGTGTCACCTATGGATTCTGAGCTTTGCCTAATGATTGTCCCCTACCAGGACTCAAGGCTGCACAATAGAACCCTCAAGAGGACACGCAAGTTTGTGGTGGATGGCGTAGAGGTGAGCATCACCACCTCCAAGATCATCAGCGAAGATGAGAAGAAGGATGAGGAGATGAGATTTCTCAGGCAAGCCTTGGAAGGGCCGCTGATGGCGGTAACAGGGTGGGGGTGTGGTGAGAGAGGGATGGGCGTATGTCTTTTTGGTGAGAGAGTTGTCTGTCTACAGCGTGAAGTGACGGATCAAGGAGACAAAAGGAAACTGGTTTTGCTTGAGATCCTGCACTCCCCCACCCACTCGTCCACCCATCCACCCACCCACCCACCCACCCATCCACCCATTCATCCATCCATCCATCCATCCATCTATCCATCCATCCATCTACCTAACCATCCATCCATCCATCCATCCACCCACACACCCACCCACCCACCCATCCATCCATGTATCCGCTCACCCACGAGGTTGGAGGACACAGTGGTGACCCACATAGTTGAGGCCGTTGCCTTTGCAGAACTTACACCTAATGGGCCAACACATAATACAAAGATAATCCCCAATTGTGGTACATGTGCTGGGAAGGAATTAATGGGTGATACGATAGTGAGTGCTGGGCTGGGGGGACACTGTCCTGCGGGAAACCCCCTGAGTGGAGCCTGAAGGGTGAGAGGAGCTGGCCGCGAGAGAGCTGGGGGAGCACAGAGGGAACTGCAAGGCTGAGGCCTGCGGAGTGACCCTCAGCTCGTTTAGCGAACTGAGAGGACTGGGCTGGAGCGTGGAGTGTAAGGTCAGGGGGAGAGGCTGGGATGCGGTCCATGGGACCCGGGTCACGTAGGCCTGTGGGCTGGGGTAGAGGAGTGGATTTTATCCCAGGTGCAGCTGGAGGGAAACAGCTGGAGAGTGACCACTCTAACGTCCCTTTTGAAAGATGGCTCCAGCTGCTGGACGAGTCTGGGCCGTGGAGGGGCAAGACTGACACAGGGAGACCTCGTCCAGGACAGTGGCTGGGCAGAGGGAAGAAGTGGTCGGATTCAATATACATTTTGGAGACAAAACCCGTGAAACCGGGAGGGACTGGTGTGGGGAGGAGGGCTCGAGGCAAAGCTGCTTGCTAAGAACCGTCTTTGAACTTTTGAGGTGCTCAGGCCCCCTACCGGCCCTCCTCAGGGAGCGAGACCCTATTGCTGCCATTTTGTAAACGAGGAAAGTGTTTCTTGGCAGGTCAGTTACTGCCCATGTCACCAGGGTGAGAAGGGGTGGATCAGAGATTCTAACTAGGTCTGTCTGTGAGGATTCTACCAGGCTTCCCTGGATGTGAAGCTTCCTGTGGGGCTGCAGGGGTGGGTGGGGGCTTAGCAGTCAGGGAGACCCTGGGGCCATTGAGCTCCCTCGGGGCCAGGCCTTTGCGGGCTAAACTCATTATTGGTTTGGAGAACATTGCTAGAACATCAAACACATTCATATTTCTGAAAAGCACAGACATTCCAAAGCCAAACGGAAGCAGTTTGGGACACTCTGGGGCACTTCGCCCCCCCAGGAGCCAGGGGGATAAGAGGCAGACTTTTCACTGGTGGCATTCCTGCATGCATACACGTACACACACTCACACGCTGGTGTCCTCATCTGTGTGGGTTTGGGGAGGCTCAGGGATGGTTGCTCTTGGTGGATGACACCACCTTCTGTTCTAATGGTCACCTGGCAGGTGACTTGTATGCTTCAAGCTTCAGTTCTCAAGGGCTGGGTTTCCTTTCCATCGTCTCCCCTCTGGGCAGTTCAGCTTCCTGGGGTTGAAATTCCAGATCCACCACACTCATCTAGAAGCAGTGCCCGCTGGCCGTGGCACTGGGCCCCCTCCCTCCTCCTGAACAGAGGAGCTGATGCTGCTCAGATTCGAAAGGTGAGACTCGGCTGAGGTGGAGAAGAGGTGCTCACCAAGAGCAAGGCTTTGCTGGTTTGCCCACTGAGGGCCAGAGGTCTGAGTGTCCTGTAAACCCGGCCAGGCTGCGGGGGTGTGGAAGGCTTATCATGCCCCTCCTGGCCCACGCCCCTGGTCAGACCTGCATCCGAACATTTCTGGAGGATTGGGTCACATGTAGGCTTTAAAGTCATGTGACGGAATGAATGGTCACTCTCCCAGATGGAGGCTTCTAGGTCTGAGTTCGTTCTGGTTTTCCCTAAAATTGCTGGTGCTGGTTCTTTCCTTCTTAAGACGTCAGCCTGTCTCCACTTGCCTTCCTGTGAGAGCTCAGGAGGGCCAGGGAGGGTAGGACCTACCTTATTTCTGTACTCCTTTGTTTGTTTTTTTGTCAGCTGTTCTCTAAGCCTCAGTCTGTTTTGAGTCAGGATTTCCATTTCTTTGTTAACACTGTCAAAGACCAGAGGCTCGGATGGAAGCTTCTTCATGTGGCTGTAGAAAGCCTCGCTGGCTTTTCCCTGAAACTGGGTGGCCTTTGCCACTTCTTCCCTCTTTTTATCGTTTGAGCAGTTACCACTTAGGGAGCCTGGGCCCTGTACCAGGCAGGCCCTGCAGGTATCATCTCATTTAACCCTCAGAGACCTTGAGAGGGAGAGATTGTCTGCCCCACGTTACAGATAGGGGAACAGAGGCCTGCCAAGACCAAGGGCACCCAGCTGAAAGTCGGCAGAGCTAAGATGCAAACAAGGTCCCTCTGACCCCAGAGAGTGTGCGGCCTCTCCTCGGGCAGCTGTTGGTGGGCAGCTAGACTCTGGACTGGAATAGGCCATAGGCCTCTTGGACCCTAGTCCCGAGGGGCTGCCAGGGAGCCCCTGGTTCACAGGGGGCCCCAGTTCTTTCTGATCATTTTAATTTCTTTTTCTTTTCTGATCACATAAATGATACATATCAGTTTTTAGTGGATTCACCTTGGAGTTTATCCCACCAATATTTTTTCTGTGAGTATATACATGTACACATTGACAATGTATATGTTACAAAATTAAGGTATACTATGTGGTTTAGGTCAGGTTTTTATTGTATTTATATTTTGAATAGGTAATATAATGTCATGGTTCAAAATTCAAAAAAAAAGAGAGTAAACAGTGAAAAATCTTCCTCCCTCACTTTCCTGACAGGCATCCAGTTCCCCTCCCTGTGTTAATGTTTTACGTTGTGATGCTTCCAGAAATACTCGGTGCGGGGCCGGCCCCGTGGCTTAGCGGTTAAGTGCACGCGCTCCGCTACTGGTGGCCCGGGTTCAGATCCCGGGCGCACACCAATGCACCGCTTCTCTGGCCATGCTGAGGCCGTGTCCCACATACAGCAACTAGAAGGATGTGCAGCTATGACAGACAACTATCTACTGGGGCTTTGGGGGGACAAAAAAAAAAAAAAAAAAAAAAAAAAAAAAAAAGAAATACTCGGTGCTTAATAGGGAAACACACAATAAACACATGTGCACACACACATTGTCTTTTTTTCCCACCCAGATAGTAGGGTAGCATAATAGACCCACGTGTCAACATCTTCCTTTTTTTCACTTAGAGATCATTCCATATCTGTTCATAAAGAATGGTTACATTTTTAATAGATGTTTTCCCATGTAATTAAATATTTTCTAAAACTTGTTTTAATGGTTGCGTAAAATGACATCAGATGGATATATTAATTTAATTAGACCTATATTGATGGACATTTAAGTTGTTTCCAATTTTATACTATTATAAATAACATTGTTGGGACTATCCTTATTCAATTGTGTCGTGTATCTATGAATATTTCTTTAGAATCAATATCTAGAAGTGGAACTCCTATGTTCCACTCGCATATGTAGAAACTTATTGGTTTCTTATTGCCAATAAGAAAGGCATAAACTTATTGCCAAATTGTCCTCCAGAAATGTTGTACCAATTTAGACCTGTCAGCAGGTTATGAAAGTATCAATTTCCTCTATACTCTTGCCTATTTAGTTAATGAAAATGGTATTTCTTTTTAATTTGCATTTCATTTCATTCAAATAGGTGTTTTCTTTTTATCTTTTGTTTCATGTCTGTTCATGTTCTGTGTCACTTTTTAAAATTAGGATATTCCTGTTTTTCTTATTGATTTGCAAATACTCTTTATATATTCAGATTATTACTGTTTATCTGTCAATAATGTCAGATGAAGCCTGAGTTCTACTCATGCCTCTGCCCCAGACGTGTGTGATGCTCCACATCCAGCCTTCAGTGTCCCTAGCTGTGAGTTATGTGATCTCTGAGGCCACTTTCTGACTGAAATGTCCACATCCTTTAACCCTTCAGGCGCCAGGAACTCCGAGAGCTTCGGCTGCTCCAGAAAGAAGAGCATCGGAACCAGACCCAGCTGAGCAGCAAGCATGAGCTGCAGCTGGAGCAGATGCACAAACGTTTTGAACAAGAAATCAACGTGAGTGTGAGAGAAGATGGGTCCCTACAGGGTCCTTGCCTCCATGTTTTCTTAAAGCAGAAGCTGCAGAGTGGGGAGGAGTGGGCAGTGGAGAGTAATTCACAGCTGCCCAGTTCCTGTGGTTTCCCGACTCATCAGGCATGGACTTGTAAACATAGGATCACATGAAGGTCACAGTGCTCCTCTGAGTCACACAGGAGGCCTTCTAGAGGGAAGTTAACCTCTGATGAGCACCATGCAAGAACCTTGCAAGATAGAGGGTCTGGTCTCCCTTTTGCACATGAGAGACTCAGAGAGGTTAAGTGACTTGTCCCAGGTCACACAGCAAAGAGGTGGTAGAGCTGGGGTTCAAGCCCAGGGCTGAGGACAGGCTCTGCGCTGCTGCTGTCCACCTCCCTCCCAGGTATAAAGTGACTTTGCTGAATTTCTGTTTCTGCTCCTTCCAGGCCAAGAAGAAGTTCTTTGACATGGAGCTGGAGAACCTGGAGCGTCAGCAAAAGCAGCAAGTGGAGAAGATGGAGCAAGACCACGCCGTGCGCCGCCGGGAGGAGGCCAAGCGGATCCGCCTGGAGCAGGACCGGGACTACACCAAGTTCCAGGAGCAGCTCAAGCTGATGAAGAAGGAGGTGACTACGTGGTGGGCGGAGGCGGGGGGTCGGGGAGCGCTAGGACCCTCTCGTTTGCACGTGACTGAACCCCAGCTCAGCCTCGCCTCAGCAGCAGAGGGAATTTGGGGAGCTCGTGCACCTGAGAAGCTCGCGTCCAGGGGCGACTGGATCTGCCTGCTCCAGCTGTGCCGTCAGGAGCCGCTGCTCCATCGTGGGGGCTCTTCCCTCTGTGTTGACTTGCTCCCAGGCGGGCCCTGCCATGTGGCTCGGGCAGCTGCCTCTCCATCCTCCCAGCTTAGCCACCCCAGCTGAAAGAGGGCAGGGGAGAAGGGAGGGATGGGCCCAGGGCAGTTTGAGATGCTGTCACCAGAGGGGAGAGTGGGTGCTGGGGGGGCAAACACAAGTCCTCTGTGCCCTGTCCTCTTCTCCCAGAGCAGCAGGCCCCTAGTTTGGACTCATGAGCCTCTCCTCCCTCTTTCCCACCCGGCTGGAAGGGAAAGGGAGAGGTGGTAAAGAGGTAGACGGCCCTGAGACAAGGGGAGGAGGTGTGTCTCAGCCTGCCTAGGAAAGGGCCTCTGGGGCCCAGAGAACAGCCCACACTCCCTCTGTGGAGCCAGACACCGGGAGGTGGGGACACGCTTGCTCTCCTAGACTCTCAGGAGGAAGCAGGGAGACAAGGAGGGTGGAGGCCGCGGGGTGGGGTACCAATCGGCCGTTCTCATCTCCAGGTGGGAGCAGTGGTGGACAGCCTCTAAGGGTGGTCCGCGGTGCTGGGGGCCTGGGAGCCCAGCTCCCAGACTCTACTGTGACAGGTGTACCCTCGGGGCCTCAGGCACTGCCTGTGGGAGCAGGGCGGGGCTGGGTGAGACAAGCAAGGCACTCACCTGAGGCATAAGATTTAAGGGAGCGCCAGAACACTCAGTAACCAAGATAGATAATCTTCTAATGCAATGTTTAAAATAAAGATTAGTGCAAAATATTCATGATGAACAGAATATCAGCTATTTAAAATATAGACAGGATCTGACAGGGCCCGGATTAGGGTGAGGCGATGAGGCTGAGTCCTGCTAGTACAGGGCTGGATCTTGTCTGTATTTAAAATTTTGATACTTTGTTCATGACTTGTTTTTTGCCTGAATTTTTATTTATTTACTTATCTATTTATTTTTTTGGTGAGGAAGATTGGCCCTGAGCTAATGTCTGTTGCCAATCTTCCTCTATTTTGTATGTGGGACGCTACCACAGCATAGCTTGATGAGCAGCGTGTAGGTCTACACCCGGGATCTGAACCCATGAACCCCGGGCTGCTGAAGCAGAGCACACAAACTTAACCACTACACCACCAGGCCGGCTCCTGAATTTTGATTTTTTAAAATGTTTATCTTGATTGCTGAATTTTCTGGCATTGCCTTCTGTGCCTGGGGCGAGGGTCTCACTGGTCTTTCCCTGGTCCTGGCCCTCCTGCTGAGACATGGACCAGTGGGCTGAGGTACGTGGGGGCGGAGGCAGGAAGCTGATGGTAAGCACGCCCCGGCTCCAGTGCAGGGAGCACAGGCCTGGGAGGCAGCCTGGTTCCGAGTCCTGGCTCGTGGCTCAGAGCTAACTGTTGGGCTTTGGACAAACTGCTTCCCTGAGTCCCAATGCCTTCTGACAAAATGGTAGTTATTCAGCTACTGTTTCATAAGTATCTACATGTATGGTACTGTGCTAGCTGCCGGGATACTGTACTGAACAAAATAGATAGAATCCCTACCCTCAAGGAGCTGTTAATTGCCAGGGAAGCCAGAAAAAAAAGTACACCATCAAACAAATAAAACACTTACCAACTGTATATATCTGTGAAGGCAAATAGACTAGTTACTGAGAGAAGAGATGGAGAGATCTTCTCTAGCGTGGTCTGGGAAGGCCTCTCCGCATATGACAGTTAGGCTGAGACCAGAGGATGCTGCCAGGCATAAGATCATTCCAGCAGGGTAGAACAGCATGTGCAAAGGCCCTGAGGTGTGGGAAAGAGCTTGGAGACTTCAAAGAGCTAAAAAATGATCTATGTGGTGGGTGCTTAGGAAATGAAGGGGAGATTAGCATGAGATGAAATTGGACAGGTAGACAGGGGCCAGATCACGGAGGGCGGTGGGCCATAGGCAGGAGTTTGCTGTTTTATTAATTACTGTTCACCATACATTCCTCACACCGATATTTTGAGCATTAAATGAGGCCTGCATTAAGCGTTAGAGCCAGTGTCTGCCCCAGAATAAGTACTCGGTAGATGCCAGTTCCCTTCTTGGCTCCTCACCCCATCACATCATCCCCACGTATATGTGGTGGGAGCGGGAGGAATTGTGGGGGCTGTAAGAGTGGAAAAAAGAGGAGGCTGCAGGGGTGGTGCCTGGGAAAAGGGGGTGTGTGAGGGGAAGCCACAGGCTCCTCACCCCTTACCAGCAGCACCCGCTCTTCACAAAGCTGGACGGTCCCATTGTTGGCAGCATTCCAGTAAGGTTTCGAGCCTGTCGTTGACCTCTGAGGCAGTGTGTGGGGTCTGCTTGGGCTTCTGCTCAGACTGTTTTTAAAATTTTCTTTTTCCCTGGATGTTTTTCTTCAAAAAGTTTTTGTGGAAAGAGAAGGCTTGATGTCTTTGCTCTCTTGGCTTCTGCCATTTGGTAAGATGTTGTTTCTGTCACCGTCCTTCCAGGTAGGCATTCCTGTTTGCTGGGACTCTAACGGAGCTGCTGTCTTCAATCTGTTTCATGGTGGAGGCGGGCAAAGTGTAGGCTTGCATTTACTTCTGCTTCCCAGAGCTAGTTGTTGGGCTTTTGTTACTTGATTCATTAAGTATGTGTACATCTTCAGAGCCCCTACTATTCGCCAGCCCCTGTATTAGGCAGCGATGAGCAAATCATACACGGCCCCGTCCTTCCATGTTGCCATCGTTGTCAGAGGCCGTCAGCATGGAAAGGGTGACATGGTCATAAGAAGTTTGAGAACATACTGCATTTTCACCAGAGAGAGTAAAGGAAGAAGGTGGTCTCTTCACCTCGAAGGAGAGAAGCTGTTCTTTTAGGACAGCGTGATGGTGGAGTGGTTGTGTGGAGCTTGGAGTCAGAAAGACCTGAGTTTGAATCCCAACTCTGAACTCGGGCAAGCTCTGTCTCCTTCTCTGTGAAAGCAGGTAATGACAGGGTCACCTCACGAAGTTGTTCTGTAGACTAAAGGACAGAATGCAGGTACAGCCCCTGGCACCTCGTAAGCACTTACTGCGTGACAGCCTTCTGGTTACTTGACGATTATTGTTGTTCTTATCGGTTCCCAAAGTAAGGGCTAGGGATTCCAGCTGTCAGGGGGCCAGCAGAGGGCTTTGCTTCACGGCACCCCTAGATGTCCCATGATTCCGTGTCCTGCCACTGCCTACTCCACGGTCCCACGACTTTCTCTGATGCAAAGGTCGCCTCTGCAAGGGTGCAGGCTGCTGGGCTACGGCGAGGTGGGAATGGAGGCTTGGGTGGAGACTGCCTGCCCACTGCTCTTGGATTGGTGGTTAGGATGTACCAGCAGGTGAAGGATAAAACTGGGAATGGGTAGGGCCCCCAGGTGAGCAGCCTCTGAACTACCCACAGGTGCAGTAGCCAGCCCAGTGCTGCATCAGAGAAATCCACACATGGATGCTGGAGACGAAGACCACACACAGATCCCATCTGGGCTTTTCTTTAACCAGTTCAGAACATTTGTCCATTTCCCTACGATCCACTGAATGTGAGAAAGCAGGTCATGATTTCAACTCAGGCATGGAAAACAAGTACAAAAATACAAAATACGAAAATAACAGAGGATAAAACTTGAGATGCCTCATGGGCTCTCTTTCATGATTATAGCAATTGGTATGGAATATTTATCATGCTAATGACCTTCCTGCACAAAGGAGGTATGCATATGGGAAAAGTCATTATTAGTAAGCTAGTTGAACAGGGACATATTTATTCTTCATTGTCATTTCAAGTAATTAACTAAATCTAGTGATGTGTTTTGTATCTGCATATACAAATGTAATAAATGTGTAATACATGTCTTCTGTAGGAATGGAATTGATGGTCTGCTATTCGGTTCCTATATACACAGTACATTTAGCATCCATGAGAAACTCACTTGAAAATTATAACTTATCAGATCACCTAAATTTGAAAGCAAACTTAACCAATCTTGAAGGAAATCTTTCCAGAACTGTTTCCCTGCCTTCCTCGGCAAAATTCATTAAATGTAATTGAACTATTTCTTTCTTTTTTTTTTTTTTTGTGAGGAAGATCACCCCTGAGCTAACATCCATGCCAATCCTCCTCTTTCTGCTGAGGAAGACCGGCCCTGGGCTAACATCCATGCCCATCTTCCTCCGCTTTATATGGGACGCCTCCACAGCATGGCCTGATAAGCGGTGCATCGGTGCGTGCCCGGGATCCGAACCGGTGAAACCCGGGCCGCCAGCAGCGGAGCGCACGCACTTAACTGCTATGCGACAGGGCCGGCCTGAACTATTTCTTAAATAGTTTGGCTCTTCTTAACACAACAGAATTATATTCCTGGAAGGATCTTGAAAATTTTAGTTAAAAGCCAGATGTTTTTTCCTGATGAGAAAATGGGAAACTAACAAGTCCTGTGACTGTTGCAAAGATGTGTAACTGGACCAGAATGCAGAATTCCTGGCGTCTAGTAGAGAGCAGTTCCCCACCTCTCCTCTCTAGCGATCCCAGCCAGAGCCGTGCTGGTCCATCCCTGTCCTCCGGGGTTACTGACACGTGTAAGTCCGCTGGCTCCTTTGCTAAGTGGCCCCGTGTGACTCTGTTTTTACTGCCTTTTGCCGCCTCCTTCCTTGGTAACATTTCTTACTGTTTTCGGTGCCTTGAGCAAAAACCTCCAGACCCTTTTCTAAACTGCTGCTTCTAATCTTCTGTCCTGGAAAACCACATAATCTAGCCTGCACAGTTCTAAGCTAATGGGTCCTTTAAATTGCGTGACGCCTTGAATGGCGCTCT